CCGGTTGGATCACCTGTTTCCAACGTGCCATTTGGGTGATACCAAAAACAAACAGGGAGCTAACGCGCGAGAGAGAGAGAGAGTTCATATCCCTACCATTGGGAAGCTAACTTACTGAAGAGGCCACTTACACCCAGATTCAAATGTTTTTCTTGGTGGCATTGCCCACCTTGGGGCCTGGGGCCGACAAAATGCTAAGACAAAACGAGACCAACAAAACATTCAGCTTCATGGCCGTGTGATCCACGGTGCGATGCGGCTTCCCTGCAGTTTTTTCAATCCCTCACCGGCGCCGGTGTTTTTTGATCCGGTCCCGCGACTGCGGAGAGTGGATAGAGACAGTCTGCAAGGGAGATTTGGCGCGTGCCTCGAGATTCCAAAAAATACGGTCACCTGAAACAATTGAAGTTGTTCCTCGGCCAACATCTTTGGTTTCGGTGGTTGCCCAAGCAGATTTTGAACAAGGTATTCCTCCAAAGATTTCCAAACCCTTTTCATTCCTTTGTTTTTTCCAAAGCTTTTCATATTTCTTGGGTACGCACGTTCCAGAGGCGAGTGCCAGGCCACTCGGGTTCTGGCTAGTGAATGGGAGGCGAAACTGGGTTGATTTGGCAGAAGGTGGGTTGACATATGTCACTTTGAAAATTGGATGGAGAAAAACATGATACACCACTTTAACATACTTGTACAATCTTAAAGAGTTAATCTAAGGTTTGATTGGTTGCTCATGGTGCATGGTTTCTGAATGGGTTGTTTCTTTTTCTATTTTGATGCCCCATCATGCATCATTTGGGGGCGCCTCCGTGCTCTGTGCTGCGGGTTCGGTCTGGGACGAGCCCATGTACTGTTCCTAGTTATACATGAAAGATGGACATGGTTGTGTCGGGAGATGGAGCATACCAGTGCACCATAGTTATACACATTGATGCCCATTTTAGTACGCGTCGGGTTGGTAGAAGCCCACGCGTTTTTTTTGGAGATGCAGATCAGATCTGCTGCGTTTTCCAAGACTATTGTTGTGTTGGTTGTTTGAAGAGCAAAACGATGCAAAACGATCCGAACAAACTTTTTGGAGGCAAATATCATTCTTCACTTATGCAGTGACATGGCTGGCAGAAGCAAGTGTCATGGTTTAACAGTGGGTTACATAGAGACTGAGAACATGAGATATGATATATGATATATGATATATATATATGTACATATTGCTACATACTTGCATAACTATGGGAGGTTTACTGTAGATTGTATAGCATGTAAAATGATTATAACATTTATGGCGCATCGGAAGAATATATTTGATCTACCGGAACAATGAGCCCTCAACAAATAACTTACCTGTGGACCCAATCAGGTTTAGATATAGTTGATCATGGGTGTATTCTTGACCAACCGTTCCCATAGGCATGGAAAGTAACTTGACATTACGGGAACTTAAACCATAACATTCTTGGTTGATGCAACATTCAATTGTTAGGATATTCTTACAGTAAACACCCTGAGACTTGTGCAGCGAAACCGATTCCAAGATGCACACAAGAATTGCGCAATGTAATCCATTGCCATTCATGTACGGTTTATCAGCATCCGTTCTATTGATTCTATTGGGGACGACAGGAATGTGTATGTACACCAACAAGAGATAAGCATTTTTTCAATGACTTGGATGCAACGAGGTCGGAGGTTATTGGCCCTCCCCCCCTTCACCCCCAAACCACCAAAGATGTATTTTAACAGTGATTAATCATCCACTTTGGGGGTGCCCAATTTGAGACAAAGCCACATCGCTGTAGGTAAAAAACGAACACAACGGGTTTGCAAACACACTTCGTATTTGTCAGGGCGAGATAACCTGCAACTTGGAGCAGATTTTTCGGTGCCCTCCCGTGCCCCGTGTACAGCAGATGGCCTTTCAAGATGATCGACTTTCAAATCAGAATTCGTCAGCGCCAATCAACCAATGGACGGCTTTCCTGCCGATGCGAAACTTTGAGATGCACAGCTTGCGGGATTGCTTCCATGGCGCACATGGAAAGAGGCCCTGGCAGCCATGACTTCTCCAGCGGACATGGCCAAGGGCCACTGGGTGCACCCTAGGCTGAGGCGAGATATGAACAAAGTTCATCAAAGTTCACATGTCAACCGTGTGGTTGGCCACAAAAATGGAAACCAGCGGTCGATTCTTGCAGGGGGATCCGATGTTTGGAACTATCATTGAAATATCCATGCAGTAGAAGCGATGCAGGGAAGCCCAGGGCGCTCTGAATGA